CTGCGCTTCTGCTAACGCTGCGTAATCAACAGTCGTGGGACACATTATAGTCTCTACGCGTGATAAGGCATCGGCTACAATGTTCTCTGTACCGTCGATATGTCTTATATCAGTCGCAAATTCACTTATAAACATAAGTTGTCTTTTCCGTCTTGGTGTTTCTTTTTCAGAATCTACCTTTGTAAATGCGTACACTAGCGGTTTATGGTCAGTGTAAATCGTCAAAGGTCGTCCTTCATGAAGGTTTCTGAAATGTTTAATTGCCATAAAAATGGCCAAAAGTTCACGGTCGTAAGTCGAATACTTTTGTTGCACTATGGACAAACCTTTAGAAAAATAAACAAGTGGCTTCCATGAATTATCGACGTACTGTTATAAGACAGCACCTACGCAGTTGTCCGAAGCGTCACACATAAGTGCAAGCGAAGCATTTGATAACGGATGGAACAATGTACATGCGCTTTGTAGGCTAGTTTTACACTGTTCGAAAGCTATGTTTGCCTCCTGAGTCCACTCGATTTTAGTTTTATCTTTGCGTTTAGCACCGTGTAAGTATTTATTCAACACCGATTGATAAGATGCGGCTTTTGGAAGATGACTACGATAGAAATTAACCATTCCTAAAAATCTGCGTAAATCGTCGACAGTTTCCGGTCTAGGAAAGTTTTTTATAGCTTGTACCTTATCTTCCAAAGGTCGTATCCCATCTTGAGAAACTTCGTAACCTAAGAATTCTAGTTAAGCCTGTCCAAAACGACACTTGGCGATATTAACAGATATACCAAAATTGTTAAACCGTTTAAAAACTAATTCTAAATGTTTCCTATGCTCTATCTCGTCTGTGCTGGCAAGTATGACGTCGTTGATGTATGAAAATAGAAAATCCAGTCCATGTAGTACCGTTGAATTCATGAAACGCTGGAAAGTTTGCGCGCTGTTGCGCAAACCGAAACTCATTCTCGGAAACTCAAAAAGACCGAAAGGTGTAATAATAGCAGTCTTCTCGATATCGTTCGGAGCGACTCCTATGCAGTGGTAGGCTCGATTAATGTCGATTTTTGAAAAGATTTTCTTACCTCCGAGTAAGTAGGTAAAATCTTGAAGGCGCGGGATTGGGTACCTGTCTGGTTTAGTAACCGCGTTCAGGCGACGATAGTCACCGACGGGTCGAATCTCGCCGGTTTTCTTGAGCACGACGTGAAGTGGGCTCGCCCAGGGCGACTTTGACGGCCGACAAATGCCCAATTCTCGCATTAATCGGGACTCTTCTTTCACCTTGTTGTAGCGGGCCGGTGGAAGTGGCCGAGCTCGCGCGAACACAGGTGGTCCAGTAGTTTAGATGTAATGATACACACCATGTTTAGTAGGTTTCACGGAAGTCGCAGGTTTCGTGATTTCCGGAAACTTTTTGTAATAAATCGTAATACGGGTGATCACAATCCACAGTATGTATAGGTGGTTCATTGTGATGCATCAACGACGCGACAACACTTAAGTTCGTTAACTTATCGACAAGTTTATTTGCACTCAAGTCCACCATTAACTTGTTGTGTTTTAAAAAGTCTGCACCAAGTATTGGTTGTTTAACATCCGCGATAATGAATGTCCAACGATATGGTCGTCTAAGTTTAAGATTAAGCACTAGGGTACGCGTGCCCCGAATGTGTTAATTACCGACCCGTTCGCTGCGTAAAGTTTATACTCACAACACTCGCGATGTAGTCTCTTATCAGCTGGTATTACTGAAACATTATCACCGGTATCTACTAAACATTATAACCACTGTTAAGTCGGTTATACATAGAGTGGGACGGGGGACTATAGGGTTAGAGATATATTTGTATGCCCTATTGTGACGAGGAGATAAGATAAATACTACGCTACTATTATATATTATTTATTATTAACTCTACAAGATATTCACATGACAGTGTGCGTTCGCTAGCTACTTGCGATGAACTGTACTGCGCTGCACAATGTAAGGCGCATGGGGCGTTCGACTAATATATCATATTACATTGTGTCGCCACATACAACCCCCTCCTTTAACAAAAATATAATAATACATAACATAGAACAAAATATAAAAAAATTATTTAACCACAACTGCACACACTCAACTCTAAATTATTAGCTACTCGTTATTTCAATACACTGCGGCGGCTGCCGGCTGCGGTGTAGATACCGCGAGCTGCGGTACAGTCGTTGGCTGCTGAACATGAATGACGGATGGAGCCGCGTTGACAGCATGCACCTGCTTTCGTAGCCAGTCCTTCGCGTGATTACGGCATGACCTCCAGACCACGTATATGGTAATCATGGCTAAACATGTTGCTATGGCCACTAACAACATGCTCTGCTGGGTATTGTAGGACTCGACTTGGCTTCCATTCTGCGCCACGACTACTTCTTCCTTACTATACAACTTTCCCATTGTAGAGAATTCGTAACGTATAACGAACGGTAAACGAGTAAAATATTAAAATATACAAACCTTATATAACCAGGTACCTGCGTCAAAATTGTTAGCTAGGCCAAAAATTGATAATACCTAATAAAATGTGTGCAATTGTGTTCAGAATACAACAATACTTAATCAACAATATTCCACAGTCTTTAAAACTTTGCAAATGAGAAACTGTGTGACGTTGCACCTTAGTACGCTGACACCTAATACAAGTTTTAGCCCATAAACCAATATCACGATTCATACCTGGCCAAAAGAATTTTTTACACACCATTTTTCGTGTAACGCGAATTCCAGGATGGCTCAAATCGTGAACTGCGTTGAACGCGATTCGTCTAAAATTTTCTGGCCTAATAGTATTGTTAGTGAAATCGCAATATACCTCCTTTTTACAGTCGGGTAAGTAAACAAGTCTCAAACGTTGTGCATCGTTACCTGATAGCTGTGTGACGTACGAGTCTCGCGCCTGCGCTTCTGCTAACGCTGCGTAATCAACAGTCGTGGGACACATTATAGTCTCTACGCGTGATAAGGCATCGGCTACAATGTTCTCTGTACCGTCGATATGTCTTATATCAGTCGTAAATTCACTTATAAACATAAGTTGTCTTGTCCGTCTTGGTGTTTCTTTTTCAGAATCTACCTTTGTAAATGCGTACACTAGCGGTTTATGGTCAGTGTAAATCGTCAAAGGTCGTCCTTCATGAAGGTTTCTGAAATGTTTAATTGCCATAAAAATGGCCAAAAGTTCACGGTCGTAAGTCGAATACTTTTGTTGCACTATGGACAAACCTTTAGAAAAATAAACAAGTGGCTTCCATGAATTATCGACGTACTGTTGTAAGACAGCACCTACGCAGGTGTCCGAAGCGTCACACATAAGTGCAAGCGAAGCATTTGATAAAGGATGGAACAATGTACATGCGCTTTGTAGGCTAGTTTTACACTGTTCGAAAGCTATGTTTGCCTCCTGAGTCCACTCGATTTTAGTTTTATCTTTGCGTTTAGCACCGTGTAAGTATTCATTCAACACCGATTGATAAGATGCGGCTTTTGGAAGATGACTACGATAGAAATTAACCATTCCTAAAAATCTGCGTAAATCGTCGACAGTTTCCGGTCTAGGAAAGTTTATTATAGCTTGTACCTTATCTTCCAAAGGTCGTATCCCATCTTGAGAAACTTCGTAACCTAAGAATTCTAGTTTAGCCTGTCCAAAACGACACTTGGCGATATTAACAGATATACCAAAATTGTTAAACCGTTTAAAAACTAATTCTAAATGTTTCCTATGCTTTATCTCGTCTGTGCTGGCAAGTATGACGTCGTCGATGTATGAAAATAGAAAATCCAGTCCATGTAGTACCGTTGAATTCATGAAACGCTGGAAAGTTTGCGCGCTGTTGCGCAAACCGAAACTCATTCTCGGAAACTCAAAAAGACCGAAAGGTGTAATAATAGCAGTCTTCTCGATATCGTTCGGAGCGACTCCTATGCAGTGGTAGGCTCGATTAATGTCGATTTTTGAAAAGATTTTCTTACCTCCGAGTAAGTAGGTAAAATCCTGAAGGCGCGGAATTGGGTACCTGTCTGGTTTAGTAACCGCGTTCAGGCGACGATAGTCACCGACGGGTCGAATCTCGCCGGTTTTTTGAGCACGACGTGAAGTGGGCTCGCCCAGGGCGACTTTGACAGCCGACAAATGCCCAATTCTTGCATTAATCGGAACTCTTCTTTCACCTTGTTGTAGCGGGCCGGTGGAAGTGGCCGAGCTCGCGCGAACACAGGTGGTCCAGTAGTTTAGATGTAATGATACACACCATGTTTAGTAGGTTCACGGAAAGTCGCAGGTTTCGTGATTTCCGGAAACTTTTGTAATAAATCGTAATACGGGTGATCACAATCCACAGTATGTATAGGTGGTTCATTGTGATGCACTAACGACGCGACAACACTTAAGTTCGTTAACTTATCGACAAGTTTATTTGCACTCAAGTCCACCATTAACTTGTTGTGTTTTAAAAAGTCTGCACCAAGTATTGGTTGTTTAACATCCGCGATAATGAATGTCCAACGATATGGTCGTCTAAGTTTAAGATTAAGCACTAGGGTACGCGTGCCGAAAGTATTAATTACCGACCCGTTCGCTGCGTAAAGTTTATACTCACAACACTCGCGATGTAGTCTCTTATCAGCTGGTATTACTGAAACATTAGCACCGGTATCCACTAAACATTATAACCACTGTTTAAGTCGGTTATACATAGAGTGGGACGGTGGGACGAGACTATAGTGCTAACATCCGCCTCCTGCTGCACTCGTCCTAGTATTCCGAAACTTTCCAGATGCACGGCATTGCGCACTTCTTACCCCGCTCACAAAAACGACGATGGTAGAAGCTAAACCAATCTTGGCGTCTCTGAGAGTTTCCTGACTGGAACGGAGTACGCCTACGCGAAGTTTCACGATGTTTGTAGCGCTGCTGTGACTTTGGCCTGTCCATATTCTTCGCGGTAATTTTGGAAATCTCCTACAGTAGTTTATCCGTGCTACTCGTTGACACTTGGGCTATCCGCAACTGATCAGGTTTAGTGTTTTCCAAAATTTCTTCAGCGATGTAGGCCAATTTATCAATGTCTTCTGTGTCAGCGGCGGCAAGGACTGCTCGTGCCGGTGACGGCAAGTGGTCTAGCCACAGTAGCTGCATCGTTTTATACAGTAACTTTCTCCTCGCCAAGTTTTGCATGCACCGTAGTAGTTGCGAGATCATTTTCACGGTTGCACACAATATGAAGTCAATAACGTGTTCACTTCGAAGTTCGCGTTCGGGTCACCAATATAGAGTTAGAGATATTTATATTTGTTCCAAATTGTGACGAGGAGATGAGATAAATACTACGCTACTATTATATATTATTTATTATTAACTCTACAAGATATTCACATGACAGTGTGCGTTCGCTAGCTACTTGCGATGTACTGTACTGCGCTGCACAATGTAAGGCGCATGGGGCGTTCGACTAATATATCATATTACATTGTGTCGCCACAATATTTTAAATGGTTCGGTGGCCATTTTAAGCCATTGCCGGTGCCGTGGGTTGTAGGTTCGATTCCCCGAACCCCGAGTGGATCACACAAATACTTGACAAAGTATTTGTGTGAGCCACTCTCCATATGTGGGTATTTGTTCCCAAAGAACTTTGACGTCAAGCAGTCACCCGGTCTAAAAATCCTAGACAATATTATTAACAATACGATTAACATTGCGCCGATTCCACTTAGGTGGGATTAGGGTGGGAGAAAGTAAAATATGACTTAAGTGAATTACAAATCTTAGTACTTTTGTGTTTTTATGGGTGACTAAAGTAACCGTATGCAGTGTTTCGGACACTGTCTACGGTTTTTCGCCACTATTTCAATGAAAGGCCCTACAGCATCTTTATTGCTGTGAGTGTTCATGGGTAAAGCTCCTCGCTTTGATGTTAAACGCTTTCACAGCTCGCTTCTAATGAAAAAATAAAAAAGTAGCTTTCCACAGCTAAATGTAAAATCTTAGGAAAAAGCTATTGTATGTGAAGGTTCTCGAGTGGCAGCCTCGTACTGGCCATCGCAGTGTGGGACGACCCCCCACTAGATGGAGTGACGACCTGTGCAAATGTGCGGGAAGTCGATGGATGCAGGTGGCTCAGGATCGTACTTCATGGCAGTCTATGGGGGAGGCCTGTGTTCAGCAGTGTACTCAAACAGGCTGAAATGATGATGATGATGATGATGTGAATGTATGAATTGTATGAAAAATATATTCCACTGTCAGCTTATACACTTTAGTAACAAATTAAATAGTATTTACATATAACTATTTCGTTATTATCACATATTATGAAATTATAGCCACACGTGGCTTTGGCTAACCAAAATATTACTATAGGGTTTACGTGAAATAATGCCCCTTAATCAATTTTGTTCTTTTTTTTTTTCAGATCCACTTCTTTACTATCGCGACTAAAGAAATGTAAGTATCAAATTTTCATAGATTCATTACAAAAGAACACTTGATTTGATTGTTAAGGGCTTAAATCGACGTGATGTCTTTAATTACTCAGTATCTATTGTAAGACGAAAAAAGTTGGTAATTTTATGTGCTGTCTAGTCACGTATAAGACTAAATTGCACCGTGATGGTAATGGTTGTCAGCGATAGATGTGAATGTGCACGTTAAATAATAACGATGTTATGTATGGATTTGAATTTTATTATCGATTTTTGACCGAGGTACTACAATATCAACAATACTGGCTCACTCTTAGCAATTTCACGTAACGCAAGGACAAGCGGCATCGTTACAACGAATTGAAATCAAAATACGTGAAAAACTACTTTAATCGGCGAAAAAAATGTTTGTAAAATGGCCTTATTTCATCGATACTATCCTAATACTTATAAGTAATTGTATGACATTTGATCACCGGGCAAAGTTCGTTCAGCAAATATAGCAACAAAGTCATGGATTAATAAAGTTTATAGGTCCATAGTTATTTCATAACGTATAAAGAGGTCATTGGCCGTTAAAGGCTCTACTCATACTTTTGCTACGAAAATTTCGAAGTGAAACAATTATGTTTTAGGTCAAACGGTAACGGTAAACGGTGTAATTGTTTAGGAGAAACACATAATTACTATTAACTTAATGAATGTAATGTATGTGTGCAGACCACCCAATTGGCGTAGTTGGTGTGGGTTCGATCCCCACTACTGAAAAAATATTGTGTGATGAACATAGTGTTTTTCCAGTGTGTGGGTGTTTATATATTTGTAATATGTATTTATTTACAAAAGAAAAGTATGTTTAACTATGTTTATCAGTTATTTAGTACCCATAATACAAGCGTTGCTTAGTTTGGGAATAGAGAGCTTTGTGTAAAAATTTGTCCTTAAATATTTATTTATGTATTATTCATATATGATCGTTATGTAATAATTAGTTATATTATTGGGAAGCGATAAGTTTCTGTGCTGGTGCTCTTATGCTAGATTTCCTTACAAAACTAAAACTGCAACAATTATTTAAAAAAAAAACTATAGTAAAAACAACAAGTTACATTGAGCCCATATAGAGCGGCCCTCTCGGGCCGACCTTACACCACAGACCGACTTTACACCACAGGCCGACCTTACACCACAGGCCGACCTTACACCACAGGCCGACCTTACACCACAGGCCGACCTTACACCACAGGCCGACCTTACACCACAGGCTGGCCCAGTGTGGGTTCCTCTTAACTTCGCCGTGGGGGACCAAGCCACGGCTACTAAGCCCCTCCGCCACGTCAAGGCGGGAACCCGGTCGGAGGGGGCGCTAGGCTATTTGCTGCTATATAGATAAATCTAAACAATCAATGCAACAGCACAAGCGATTACATGTCATAAAGTCATGTAAGTGTTTAACCAGACGCCGTTACTGCAGGATAACACTATCCCGTGTTGTAAGGATGTTTCATATACATAAATTTCACTGGGACAAACACCCAAATCCGAAACAAATAGCTGTGGGTCACACAAACGTATGCCCCCTGTGGGAATCGGACCGACGGCCCGCGGCACGGATGCTGATATCTTGGCAACTACGCCACGGAGTTACACAGTAAACGGTTTAACTCTTTGAATTGATCAGAATGATCTTCTTAATGATCATAATGAGAAATTCAAAGACTTTAACCACCCTTTTGGCAACACAAATGGCATTTGAAAAGCCCTTTGACAGCTGATTAGTTAATTTCTACAATGATCAGTGTTTCAGAAACCGGGCGCTAACGTGTATTGCAGATATTGACCACCTGATGGCCACTCACCTTTCACTCGTTTACCTTTCTCCGTCGACAAAGTAAATACGGAGCGAACAAAACCGGCCCTAATGAATCCTTGTCAGTTTGCATTTGTTTTTTTTTTTTCGTTTTGGCAATGGTTTTTCGTCCAGACCTATTCTTTTTTTTTCCCACGCGTATTGTTTTTTCAGGCGCTTGCGGCGGAAGCGACGCGGTGCTCGATCGGTTTTTTTCAACCGTGCAAACGGATATTCACGGTAATTAATGGTCCAAAAAATTCATTCGGAGGAATGGGCGTATTATTTTGTAATGTGTACAGAGGACTTACACAAATATTGTAGCAGAGATATTGTGATTATATCGATATTATGCATGTGTCTGTTATGAAGGATGAAAAGTATTTAGTACTCCCTTTTCTACCTGTCCTGCTAACGCGATCGTTATTTGTGAGGTCAATGGGAAAAAATTTAGATATTTGTGGTCTTGTCATACTGATATCGACCTGATAATTATTTTCAAGGCACACTTGTACAAAACTTCATGTATTTCATAAAGATACATGGTCTTTAAAGGCGATTATTTTTATTTTACTTGAAATTACATAGACACAACTATAGAAGATAATTACTATCACAAGCGAGCCTTTTTTATATCTTTTCCTTTCAACTCTTCAATGTAAACTTTTATTCAACTTACATATTGTTTTGCTATTTACCGTTCGCAGTTTAAATCTTTAAATTTTTCGTACAAATCAACGTTACCGTACACGTTAGCGATATAAGTTAAAATCTATGTGTGTATATAAGTAAACTTTTAATTAAAACCGAACCAAAATCATATACAAGAACCAATCCCGTATTTGTAATGTGAGAAGTCATTTGTATGAAATCCTATTACCTTTGAAGTATTAATACGAGACTTGCTGAACACACAGTAAAACATTCACTCGGGGAAGGAGTTTTTTCTCTCGCGCATTTCCAAACGGAAATTGGGATATCGAAATACAAAATTACTACGTGTTCTTTTAACACTCTTTTATTATCTTGGTAATTTTTTTTTGTATGTAATATTATTTATGTAAGCACAAAGTATATGTTTTAGTAATCGTGTACGTAAAATGAATACGACCAAAGCCTTCGAGTTATATTTATCCAAATTCTGCACAGGGATTACGAACTGATGACAGTACAAATATTTCACAGCTACGACGTTATGCTATCTCCAGATTCAGTGGGTAAATAAAAGAATATTTCGTTCATTAGATTGTTACCGTAACATCTCATAAAGTTACATCGTTTCGTTTTGTGTCTAATTTTTTTTATGACAGAAACGCTATGTGCGCAAGTAACTAAATATTATTGCAGATAGCGAATGAATTTATGGCATATAATTTTTTTGTTCGAATATTGAACAACACATTTAATATTTCGTTCGTTATCAGTTGATTCGTGCGAATCGTTGGATCAAATTGACCGATTTAAATCCTTAATTACAATGAGTCCACGGGGCAATTTGTAAACACCGGCGGTACGGTCGCGTTAATAGAAGTATTAATATTAAAAGAGATACATTTGCGACCGTTCACGTGAATACAGTAGTCACAAATAGTAAACACTTCAATCACATAATCGAAGAATTCCCGATTATGAAATAAAATTCTCTGATGTGTGATTTAATTTTTTAGTATATCAGGCCTGCGGGGAAGAGGTCTAGTGCATGAAATACTCGATTTTATACGTGTAATGATTTTTTTCATTATTTACGATTTATTTAAAATACTAAAATCCCGAGGAAAACAATTCACGCGATATGTGTGTGATATGTATTTAAATATAAACTTGTGTTCAAATAAACTATATGTCTTATAGTTTATTTGAACACAAGTTTATATTTTTGAGCCCTATAATTGCTGTGATCTTCACGAAACGTCCCCATATTGTACGTT